TGCCCAAGGCCACAGAGCAAATGCATGGCGGAGCCAGGCTCTGAACTCAGGAGTTCCTGCCTCCCCGCCCCCTTGATCTCTCGTAATTCCCATTTCCAGGAAGGCTTGCTATGTTGCTTTAACAATGAGACGCTGCAAATGGGCAACAACACTTTACGCTGAAAACATCATAACAATTCTGACCACAGAGGAAACAGACCCCTGGGACTAATCTAACCCTTCACATTAACAACTTGAAATAAGCAACAAAGGTCTGGGATAGCCAGAGGCAATAAAACCTTGGGATTAATTTAACCAGTCGCTAGATGCCAGTGCAGCTGCAGCTGTATTTCTTTGCTCATAAAGGAGATATTATGATTCCTGATAAGAGCCCAGGGAAAACTTAGGCTCTCGTCCCAAAGAGCAGACAGTGCCGTGAAGCCTGCAAACACCACGTGTACAGTTGTCTTCCGCTGAACACTATGACAAATGCTACCGTCCCTGGGTGTTTGTCTGAAGGAACTGCTGCAGTCAGTACCTTCTGCATGGCCTGTGTGCTGCTCCCACCACAACCAGTCTTCGGACTGGATCCTCCCACCCCTCTGGTGACATAGGCGGAGATTTTCGAAAGGGGCCTAGGAGCTGGGCGTTGGGCAGCTAGGTCTCCTAGGCAGATTTGGAAAATCTCACCCAAAAAGTCGGAGACTAAATGAAATGAGGTGCGGAAATCTCCTCTTCGGTATCATCGAGATGTAAGTGCAACCTCACATCGACTGGCTCGGGCTGTCAGGTTCTCCCCGCCCACAGACTCCCATTGGTGATCATAGGGGACACTCCATGTAGGGTCACCCCAGTAAATGAACTCAAACCATGCTACTCCCTTATGGTTGGGTTGTTACGGTCAGGTTTCTCATGCTGTAGGAGTACCCCATCAGCTGGCTCCCTCTGTAGGGTCCCCCCTCATCACTGGGCTGTTACCGTAGGATTCCCTCAGCCACGGGTTCTTATTGGGTTTCCCTTAAAAATCCCTACTGGATTTAATGTAGGATTCCTCCAGTAGTGGGGACGTGCCGTAGGGTTCCTGTCACGAGGCTGAGACTGTAGAGTCCCCCAGCAATGGGTGCTGTCTCCGGTCATAGAAAAGACCCCAAACTCTTAAACAACTGAAAGAGGGATGGCAGGTAAAACCAGCCTTGCTTGGCAGATCCCCTGAAACCTGCTCACGGACCCCCAGGGGGCCCCAGACCCCTGTTGAGAACCACTGTCGTAAAACACCGATTTGGAAGCTTCCCCTTCTTGATGCCCGTCCGCAGCCCGCGCCATCCTCTCTGTAAAGTTCCTTCTGCACTGGGCTCTTAGGTGCAGTGTAACAGTCAGTTTCATGAGGAGGTCACGTCTTGTTGTGGTTCCCATGGAAGGCAATTCTCCCTTTTCTTCTGCAAGAAATTCCTGCAGGGAGCTGTAAAACCACAAGCTTTCTCCCCTGTCACTTCTGTTAACCAGGGACACTGGTGTCTTCCCATGCCATGGAGGGCAGAAGTGGAAAATGTAAAGCTAACAGGGAGATATTCTAACCCCCTGCGCTGTGATCTCATGCCCTAAGCGGAGCCGAGCTTGGTCAGCACGCGGATAGGAGACCTCTAAGAAAAACCTAAGCAGTTCTGGCAACCCCCTAGGTAGCTCTTCCCTATGAGCTGGTATTGTCCCACACTGGTAGGGGGCACCCTACTGCAGGTGGTGTGGCCTTCAGAGGAGATGCACAAATCAAGGTCCACATGTGTTAAAAATCTCATGGTGGTTTTTCCAGGGGTGGGGGGTGTTTGCTCTGGTATTCTGGCCACATCCCAACTAGGCAATGCCATTTGCTCATCAGACATGCTCTTCCCTTTTGAAATGAACTATCTAGTGTTGGAGTGTACTGTATAAAGGCTGCCCCCTTCCCCTCCACAGGGGGTGCACGGCCATGAGAGGTGATGTGATCTCTGTATAATTTTCAAGGCTCAAGGCACAGCTCTACCCCCTATGTCCTCTATTAGTGCTCTCATACTTTCCTGCTCCACCTAGCCTGGTCTCCTCAGTGCTCCCTTTGTAGCCTTCCTCCCTGCCTCCCTTATGCTTGGAACGCCTTCCTTTATCTTGAGCACACTGCTGGCACTCACCACATAGTTAATTAAAGTAGAGTTAATAAATCCATGTCTAAAGATTTCACCTTAGGTTGCACGTTCTTGGATCTTTGCATGAAGGACGTTATAGAATTGGCTGGTATTATTACTAACAATAAATAAGTCTGGATTTAGCTGCTTCACCCACAAGATGGTAGTGGTACAACCATCTCTCCACCACACTCATGCCAAGGCTGGATCTGTATTGCCATTGCATGCAAACAGAGGGATGACTGAATGCTCTTGGAATCTGGGTCAGGGACTTTGGTCAAAGTGAATAACTCTGTTCCTGCACATGTATCCTGGCCATCAGTGGGATGGTGGGATGCTTACATCTATCTATCTATGAAGATAATCCCCAAAATTCAATGAGCTGGCCAGACTGTCCTGTCCAGGAACTCCCGTCCTACGACTCACGTGGCTGGTCAGGTAGACCTTCCCCGCAGCAGTCAATAGGATGGTTAAGCTTTCAAACATTGCACTCCCACGGAGCTTATTACACTGGTGGGGTGACAGTCCTATGCAATTCCAGCCATGCAATATCCATTGCCAAAGGGAAATATGCTGCACTGACCCTGATGCTCTCTTCTGTGGCAGTTTAGATCTGTCAGTGTTGGATTTACCACCCTAAAACACCCAACCTGGCTTCTGATCCAAGAGAATGTTGCAGTGAGAAAGGAGGGTCTAGAAATCCTAATCCATGAACTCGGATAGTCATATACCCCCACCCCAGATACCTACTGCATTTACCAAATCATATCAGTCAATCAGATAATTGGTCGTGAGTGTGGGATATCAACCAGGATAGAACAGAATAGCTCTTGCATACATCCAAAGTGAGCTGTACACTCCAGTTTCTCGGAGGATAAGCCTCTGCACTTGCCCACAATTAGGAAGATAATTATATTTGTCTAATAGGGGCTAATGTGGTGAGGAGTTTGTGGATACTTCACATTGTTGTGCTCTACTCCAGGATACCCTTGGTCATAGGTAGAACTGAAAAATAAGCCATATGTTCCTTGGTAGAGTCCCATGTTTCATATGCAGGTTTCCCTGCTTCTTAGCGCTAATATTTAGCCCTTATATAGCACCTGTTAGGTCCAAAATGCTGTACAAACAGTTAATTAAACCCACACATCACATCAGTCTTCATTGGGCCAGACACTCATCTTACCAAAGCCTTCAGCACTAGGACAAGAGGAAAGAATTTAGGGAACAGCTGTAAGAAGCTTTACAAAATGCCACCGAAAGAGCTTGGCTGGACATATGGCAGCTGGGAAGCTCCGTTCCAGCAGCAACAGGCCAGCGTGTTCACCCCAATGTGCTCTAACCCAGCCACATGAGGCCCAGTACAACCTTTCCTGGCAGCACATCCCAGCGCAGGGTGCTCCCTGCATTGGTGCGGCACATTCCCGTCTCGACTTCTTTCCTGCCCCTCATTTCAGAGCGCAAGCCTGGCCTTAGCACTAACGCGGCAATGAGGAGTCCTGAAGCTGAGGTTATAAAAAAGGTTCATTATGATCCAGAAATTGATCCTCTCTCCTTCGAAGCTTCCTGCACTGTTACGTGCCTTGTGGTCTCGCTCTGATGTTACCCTGCACATTTGAGCTGTTGCAATTTGTGCAGTAAAAGCACTGGCCCAGCACCTGCTCCATGCGGCAGTGCGAGTCCAGAGCCCGCTCCATCCCAGCTGCCCTACCCCAGTGCTCACTCCATCCTGACACCACCGGCCCAGAGCCTGCTCTGTCTGGCCTCCTGATACCTGCTCAGTCCCTGAACAGCTGGCCCAGCATCACTCCATCCTGGCAGCAGAGGCCTGGCATGTTTTGTTTCTAGATACCCCACAACAATCGAGTGGGCTTCTCCCAGCGCTCCGATATGGCTACGCTGGCCCAGAGCATTTCGCTGCTGGATGCACCCACAGAGCCCACCTCCATCACTCCAGCACCTACTCCATTCTGGCTATATGAGCTCAGTGGGCTTCGTTCCTAGATGCACCCATAGGACCAGTCACACTGCCCAGGAGCATCCTCGGGGACAAGCAACCCAAGGGACTGTGAGGGGCTCTGCTTCTTGAGGGGGCTGTGCAGCCCTGGGTCTCTGTGTAGGTTGTGTATCAACCTGACCTCATATTCTGGCCATGGGATCGGAGGCTGGAGCACATGATTTATGAGGAGAGGCTGAGGGAACTGGGATTATTTAGTCTGCAGAAGAGAAGAATGAGGAGGGATTTGATAGCTGCTTTCAACTACCTCTGAAAGGGGGTTCCAAAGAGGATGGATCTAGACTGTTCTCAGTGGTAGCTGATGACAGAACAAGGAGTAATGGTCTCAAGCTCCAGTGGGGGAGGTTTAGGTTGGATATTAGGAAAAACTTTTTCACTAGGAGGGTGGTAAGGCACCGGAATGGGTTACCTAGGGAGGTGATGGAATCTCCTTCCTTAGAGGTTTTTAAGGTCAGGCTTGACAAAGCCCTGGCTGGGATGATTTAGTTGGGGATTCAGTCCTGCTTTGAGCAGGGGGTTGGACTAGATGACGTCCTGAGATCTCTTCCAACCCTGATATTCTATGATTCTAACTCTCTGCCCAAACCACCCCGTTGCCCCCCCAGAGTGCTGTTGACGAGAGAAGTGATTCACAGCCCACTGCCCTGGGGGCCTAGCGAATTCGTGCTGAGTCTGTGGGAGGCAAGCTCTGGCCCCCTGGGGAGGCCGCACCAGAAGGGGTCTCATAATGCGCTTACAGAGCACTTTTCCTCTGCAGAGCACAGCGCAGACATTAACTAATTAATGAATGACGTTAGGAAAAGTAAATAAACAAGCCATCAAAGTGCTCCTCCCTCCCAATTCCCCGGCCCCAGAGCTGGAGGTGGACAGAAGACTCCTTTGCAAATGGGACAGGGGCTGTCCCCCGTGATACAGCATACCATGTTCCCATGCCGATCACGGACACAGGTACAGATTAGCCCCTGACCCATAGTGCTCGCCACGGGGGGGGGGGGGGGGGAGAATGGGGCAAAACATTTTAAAAGACCAGTGAAGTGAGAGACCCGCATCCCACCAGAGGGGGCCAGCGCAGGCATGGCGGGGGTCAGCCATGGGAAAGGCCTAGCTGGTCCCACCCAGTCCATCAGCCTGGGGGCCAGTGCAAGCTTGTGCCTCCAGCTACTAGTGCTCCGGGCTGGGGGGAGACACCCTACGCAGCTGACCCATGGCTGGCTACAGCGCCTTCACATTGGAGCGCCCCCTGCGGGCAGGCCGAGGGACAGTCTCAGTCCCTCTTTGACTGGGTTTGTATCATCTATCAAAGGTGGACCAGCTAAAAGCAAAAGGTGTGTGTGTGGGGGGGGGGGCAGATCGCCGGGGGAGGTGATGAGGAGCGGGGGAGTAGCAGACGCCGGGGGGGGGGGGGTTGGGGATCGGGGGGGGGGGGGGGTTGCAGACGCCGGGGAGGGGTGATGGGGGGGTAGCAGACGCCGGGGGGAGTGATGGGGAGCGGGGGGGGGGGGTAGAAGACGCCGGGGAGGGGTGATGGGGAGCGGGGGGTAGCAGACGCCGGGGAAGGATGATGGGGAGCTGGGGGGAGTTGCAGACGCCGGGGAGGGGTGATGGGGGGTAGCAGACGCCGGGGGGGGGTGATGGGGAACGGGGGGGGATAGCAGACGCCGGGGGGGAGAGTGATGGGGGGATAGCAGACGCCGGGGGACAGGGCTCATGCCCATTTACGAACGGAGCTGGGCTCCCCGAGCCGGCAGCAGCGCCCCAAGGACAAAGTCCCGCGCCTGGGCGCGCTGGGCAGGGGGAGTCCCGGCTCCGGCACCCCCTCCTCTGCCCTGCCCAGCCCGGAGCCGAGGGCAGCCTCCGGCCCCGCAGCCCCCGGGTCCCAGCGGGGCCCCGCCCGCGCCGCCGGGCTGCCCTGGCGCCTCACCTGCCTCCGAGACGATCCCGATCCAGAGCCAGAGGGACAAAGTGCAAACTCTCTTCATTTCCAGCGCTCCGTGCCGGGGGGCGTCGGGAAAAGGCCGGGGCTGGAGGCGAGCCGGGGGCAGGGTCCCCTCTCCCCTGGCCCGGGCGGGTCCGCGCTGGCTGCGGGTTCAGGCGCAGAGCCCCGCGCTGAGCTGTGCAGCCGCCGGCTCGCCGCGCACAGGAGACGCTGGCCCCGCGCGCAGGGGAGGATCGGGCCCCGCGTCCTTTTCCTTCCTCTGCTCCTGCCAGCGAGCCCCGCGCACTCCCACTGCACCGCGCTCTGCGAGCAGGGGGGCGGCGTGTGCGCCGGAGGGGAGGGCGGGGGGCGATGGCCAGAAGGGGGGAGGGGGTCCTAGGGGGGGGGGGGGGTGGGGGCATGGGGGGAGGGGGGGCGGGCGGGGGGGGGGCGCGATGGGCAGGGGAGGGGCAGGGCAGGGTGGGGGCGATGGGCAGAAGGGAAGGGAGGGGGTCCTAGGGCAGGGTAGGGGGGCAATGGGCAGAAGGGAGGGGAGGGGGTCCTAGGGCAGGGGAGGGGCAGGGCAGGGTGGGGGCGATGGCCAGAAGGGAGGGGAGGGGGTCCTAGGAGAGGGGCAGGGCAGGGTGGGGGCGATGGGCAGAAGGGAGAGGGGGTCAGAGGGGAGGGGCAGGGTGGGGGCGATGGGCTGAATAGAAAAGAGGTCATAGGAGGAGGGGAGGGAAGGAGCAGAAGGGACCCACTGATTTGTTTTCAGTATGTTTGTATCCGTTCCTTCATGGGCTGGCCTGGGAGGGAGACATCCGTGTTAGTGTCTCTGCTGTGGGATATTTGCTGGGAGTTGCAACTAGGGAGCACCAGGACATTTCAAGTGAGAGCTGCCAGGCGTATCCGGGCACACAGAGAGGCAGACGTGCCCCAGTGGGCACACCTGCTATGCCCATGCACACATACCCATGGCCACCTACATGCACAAACAGGAACACACGGAGGCACACGCCGCTTACACGGTGAAAGGCATGTATGTACGTAGATGCATCCAGACACAAGTCTACATGTAGGTACACCAGTGTACTACACCTCCCTCCCACCCAAAGGAACACACACCCATGCGTTTCGTGCCCTATATGGTATGTGCGATTGCAGCTCTCTCTCCGTCTGCAGCAAGCCCACTCCTGGGGCCCAGAAGTGCTGATTACTGAATGCTGTTTCCTCCTCCAGCTGTTTGTTGATTTGTTTCCTTTCCTTTCCTTTGCTAGCCCCGTTAGGAAACCTAGAACTGATCCTTCAGAGAATGTCTAGGCCGCAGGCAGAGCGTGCCCAGGGAATTTACAAGCATGCTGGTTTGTGTGGCTGCTAGGGATGGCACTGCCATCAGGGTAGGGTGCACCACAGGTCTTTGCACTAGTCAGCTGTGTTATAGGATGCAGCCATCTCATCTAGAGATGGCAGGAAATGCCAGGGCATGCCATCTGGTATGCTCAGTCAGCTGGCAAGGGAGCACTGATTCCTTGCGGTCTCAGAGGTGTTGAGAGCCTGCGATGTACTGGCTTTGTGGGGGTATGAATGAGTGAGAGAAGATATCCTATAGTGGCTGACCTGCAGAGAGGATAAGGAGCCTACCACAGCTCCTTTTACAAATCCCGAAGAGCTGCATGCTGGGGGCGGGGGGGGGTTATATCAGTGTGTTTGGTCTATCACCCTGTGTGTATCCATGACTGAAACAAGAGTACTGCAATGCACAGTACTCGACCTTCCCCTTCATTCATGTAATGGATAGTTTTGGTTCTGTGGACTGTCTAATACATTGGGGCTACTCTCTTCCATCATTCCCCTCCAGCTACAGCCCGGGGGTTCTTAAATTACAGAGGGTACAAAAATACCTCCACTCTCGCCTCTGTGGGGTGGGGGGAGGAGGGGAGAGTCCTCTCCCAAGGAAAGCTGCAAAATAAAATAAATTAAAAAAAAAAAATCAAAGCAAAACAGCCATAAAGAAATGCCATAAAATAGCAACTTGTACGTCATTGACTGTAGAACCCTTACTAATTACATTAAAGACTCAGCAATCTGGACACCAGTCCTCACGTACATTGCATATTTCCATAGTAAAAAAGACAACCAACCAACCAACCAAAAAAAAAAAAAAAAAACAACAACAAAAGTCCCAGGTCTGTACCTTAGAGATTTATGAATTATACAACTTTGCAGACATCACAAAAGAGGCCTGGAATGAGAACCATGTATTCTGAGTTTCAAAATGGCATGGAATTCTATTGTGTGTTTAATTGCATCCCCAAACCTGTGGAAAAAATGCACCACGCCCTTTTCTCAAAGCCATCAAAGGAAATCTAAGCAGCTACAGGTATTCTAAAAGATTTCTCCTCTCCCCCGCCATAAGACACAAATTTGGAGATTCAACCCCTTAAAATGTCTACGCATGCACACACATTGTACCCTCAGTACCCATCTTTCAAACTCCCTTTAGAGGTCAGAATTGGCAAAGACTCATGCATTTTCACCTGAAATTTCCATAAAAAAGCTTTTCTGACCTGCTCAAAACTGCCAAGTTCTCATTCATCAGTTCAAGAACTTTCCAAGTAGGAAAAAGATCTGTTAGTTTAATTTAGCCAACAGTTATTACAGAATAACAGTCTACCTGTCAGGACAATTTTAGATCCCACCATAGGCCAGAAATACCATCTGTAATTCTAGATCAGAATCTAGAGCAGATACATCCCCAATTGTGCAGCAGCCCATGTCCCATTTTGGAGCAACTCTGCAAATTTCTGCTGCAGTCCCTTCTGGAACAGTGAAATGGATCATCTCTGTATAGTTCTATTGCACTAGGGCTGAAGAACTCCCAGTGAAGGAGCTGGGCCCACTGTGGTAGGTGCATTAAATATAAGTAACCAAATAGGCAGCCCCAGCCCCAGCGGGCTAACAGTCTGTACGGCCAATGGGGATTGGTGAGACAGAGAACTGAGAAATGTTTTCTTAACGTTTCTGTAAACGTATGTTTAACATTCTTAGGGGAATCAATTGCCGGTGACAGCTCTGGAGCCTGAGCCTGTCTGGAGTAGAGGCAGCAGGGTGAGCAGCAGCTGTCCACATTTCTCCTCCCTGCTCTGCCAACATGATTCAGCCCTAACGGGGAGGGACCATCTAGAATGGTGAGTCTGTGGCCCCCAGTATTGAGATTGCCAAAGAGGGTACCAGCTGTGGGGGCAGTAGGGGTTGGTGACATGGGAACGGGACAGAGAGAGAACGTGTTGGTTTTCATTAGCGAACGTGAAGATTGTTTTCCTGAGTCTCTGGGATGATTCTCGTAGACCATTTGACAGTATGAGCTTAGGTCTCCTACCCTTTGAAAGGCTACGAGAGGCAAAACACGTTTTTAACTCATGGCTATGGAAATCAACATCAGAGTGGAGACTTTCTGTGAACACCTGTTTTAACCAAGAGAAGCAAAGACAGAAACCTACCTGGGCATGGACCAAGTGACAAAGAGGCAGCTAGCTTCAGAGAGTGACAGATCAATCACATGGCTCTGACAGACAGGTCCAGGAGGAAATATAGCTCTGCTCTTTTGAGGGACTGGCTGTTAAACTGATAAGAGAGGACCACTAGGGGTGGAAATGATGAAGCTTGGCTTCTATTTCACCCATTCACCGCTCCCCTGGGGATGCCAGGCCGAGGGGTAGCGAACACAGAACTCAATCAACAATCCCAGGTGGGGAAGGGTGTGTTTGTTACCAGAGCAATAAAAACAGCATGACACAGCTTATGGAACAGCCAGGAATTGGTCACATAGGGGATGTCTCACACTGTGCCCCAAAGGGGTCTGTCACCCAGCCTTTACCACACTGCCATCTAATGGTGGGAAGTGAGGCAAATTTTCCATCACAAACACAGGGTTACTATGTGACTGACGGGGCCTTTCTATTGTTGTATTCTTGGGAAACAAAAGGATCTTATTTTAAAATCTTACCCTTCCCACACCCAAAAAACCCAACAAGTGGAATGAAGTAATCATGTTTCTACTCAGCTAAAGCGAGTGATGAGACTTGGTGGCGTCTTCCTCTCTCCCGTGGTCCGGTCCACTCAGAGTCAATACCCACACAGGTTTCAGAGCAGCCGCCGTGTTAGTCCGTATCCACAAAAAGAACAGGAGCACTTGTGGCACCTTAGAGACTAACAAATTTATTGGATCATAAGCTTTTGTGGGCTACAGCCCACTTCACCGGATGCATAGACTGGAACATATAGTAAAAAGATAATATACATACAGAGAACATGAAAAAGTGGAAGTTGCCATACCATCTTAATTAAGATGAGCTATTATCAGCAGGACAAAAAAAACTTTTGTAGAGATAATCAAGATGGCCCAGTTCAGACAGTTGACAAGAAGGTGTGAGGATACTTAACGTGGGAAATAGATTCAAAATGTGTAATGACCCAGCCACTCCCAGGCTCTATTCAAGCCCAAGTTAATGGTGTCTAGTTTGCAAATTAATTCCAGTTCAGCAGTTTCTCGTTGGAGTCTGTTTTTGAAGCTTTTCTGTTGCAAAATTGCCACCTTTAAGTCTGTTACTGAGTGACCAGAAAGGTTGAAGTGTTCTCCTACCAGTTTTTGAATGTTAGGATTCCTGATGTCAGATTTGTGTCCATTTATTCTTTTGCGTAGAGACTGTCCGGTTTGGCCAATGTACATGGCCGATGTACATGTGCTGGCACATGATGGCATAGATCATTGGTAGATCTGCAGGTGAACGAGCCCCTGATGGCGTGGCTGATGTGATTAGGTCCTATGATGGTGTCACTTGAATAGATATGTGGACAGAGTATGGCATCGGGCTTTGTTGCAAGGATAGGTTCTTGGGTTAGTGTTTTTGTTGTGTGGTGTATGGTTGCTGGTGAGTATTTGCTTCAGGATGAGGGGCTGTCTGTAAGTGAGCACTGGTCCTTCTCCCAAGATCTGTGAGAGTGAGGGATCGTCTTTCAGGATAGGTTGTAGATCTTTGATGATGCGCTGGAGAGGTTTTAGGTGGGGGCTGAAGGTAATGGCTAGTGGCGTTCTGTTATTTTCTTTGTTGGGCCTGTCCTGTAGTAGGTGACTTCTGGGTACTCTTCTGGCTCTGTCAATCTGTTTTTTCACTTCAGCAGGTGGGTATTGTAGTTTTAAGAATGCTTGATAGAGATCCCGTAGGTGTTTGTCTCTGTCTGAGGGATTGGAGCAAATGTGGTTGTATCTTAGAGCTTGGCTGTAGACAATGGAATATGTGGTGTGTCCTGGATGGAAGCTAGAGGCATGTAGATAAGTATAGCAGTCAGTAGGTTTCCGGTATAGGGTAGTGTTTATGTGACCATCGCTTATTAGCACTGTAGTGTCCAGGAAATGGACAGCTTGTGTGGATTGGTCCAGGCTGAGGCAAACAGACTCCCATCCCGGGCACTTACCAATAGCCTTGATTCAGGTAGGATGGCATGGGTTGTAGGCTGCAGTTCCTCTCAGCTGGTGCAAGGGGGCCACATTATTAGCCGTCTTGAAAAAAGAAAGGCTTCTTCCCAAGAAATACAACTGATGTGGCTTTGCAGATAGTCAAGACACTGACTCCGAAGAACTGCTGGAGCTTTCCGCAGCAGAAGGAATAGGTGCTTCCATCCTACAGTACCAGCAGATTCAGAGATGGGGAGTTCCAGGGTTCATCAATATAAATTAGCACATGAGGTTTAGTGACAAGAAAGACATGGTTCATAAACATCTCTCAGTCACATGGGGGTCGTGTGCAATGGGTTTCGTGCAGTGGGTTTCCGTAGCAGCAGGTCTCTCAGAATGCTAAGCAGGCGTGGAACAGAAACCGTCCCATTCAGATCACAGTCAGTGATTAAGCATCTCTCATATATGGCCCTACTTCAATAAAGGTTTAAATAATGTGTAGAGTAAACAAAGGCTTGAGGCCTGTTTGAAATGGAGGCTTCGACAGAGTCCCCAGCTGCAGCCTATTGGTTTGATCCAAGAACCTGGCCTGGCTTTGGGCTAGCTGCTGCCTTCATGCCTTAGGCTGCGATCATGGGTCAAGCAGCAGCACTGGTTGGGATATGGGTTTATTAACAAAGTTCACCAGGAAACAAGAACTCCCACCCAGCCTTCCGAACTGGCTCATGCCCTTAGTGCAGGGTTCTTATGCCGGGGCCTGCTGAGACTTATCCTCTAGCAGACTTATCCTCCATGCTCCAGCTTTCCTAGCTAGCTCCTGCTCCCTGCAGCAGGCTGTACCTCCGGCCCCCTGGGAGCTACAGGGGGCTTCTATGAGCAGAGCATCTTAGGCAGCTGACCTGCTCCTTTGAATCACCCCCAGCAACTCCTGGGACTTCCTTTCTCTTATTTACACCCCAGAGGCCTGATTGAGTCACAGGACCTGCCTGTCATGCAACATTGCTCATTTTCTCCACCCGGAGAGGCATATGACACATTTCCCAGCAGGGGCTGGATCCATTCTCCTTAAAGGGCCTGTCACCCTGTAGCAAACCCTTCCATTGGGTGGGCCAGGGAACTTGTCCTTTTTAGCAACGGGGCGTGCAGCACATGGGGTTGGGAACATTGGATGGGGTGTTACAAATTATTCTTTTTGCAGTGTTTCTCTGGGTAGATGCAACCCCGCTTCATAGACTCAGCTGACACCCCCTTGATTGCAATGGGACTTTAACCTGCTGTTGTCACCTTCAGACCTACAGTGATCTTTTAAACTATCTTATCTGGGGTGGGTCCAATTTTTCCACCTAAGGCCCATTGGCTGCAGCCTTACTGCCAATACTGATACTGCTAAATAGGAGGCTTGTCTTATTTTCAGAATGTTTCTCTGGCAGTGGGTGATTTGCCCCTTTTTACAAAGTTATTCTCTCTTGCACTTTTTGTGGAGGCTGAAAGGATGCCCAAGGGTTTGGTGCAGGAAATTGTTACCCTCAGGTCTGCCTGCTGCCCCAGCAGACTCCGTACTCTGCCATTGTTACTTGTGATGACATTACACCATACAAGTGAGATGCTAAGGAACAGATGCCTCTGGAGTAGTTGGTGGGAAATTGAGTATGTAACCCAAATGTAGTAACACTCCTTTGGAGGGTGGAGTTAGCGGGATGGGCGTGCATGTTTTCCAGAGTTAAGGTACCGTAGTGAGACTCAGGGGATCTGGGGATCTTTGACACCCCTCTGCTGCGTGATCTTCTGCATGCCACTTCCCCTTTCCCCTTCCCCACATTGTCCATCTTGTCTAGAGAGAATGTAAACTCTTTGGAGCAGGGCCTGCCTCTCACTCTGTCTTTGAACTGCATTTAGCGCAATGGAGCTGGAGCCTCACCTGGGAATAGAAATTGTATGGTGGGCTATGAATGCTCACAAAATTGGGTTTGGGGTGCAGAAGGAGGTGAGGGCTCTGGTTAGGGGTGCAGTCAGAAATGAGTTCAGGGTGTGTGTCTGGGGGCTCTGGGCTGTAGCAGGGGGTTGGGGTGCAGGAAGGGGGACAGGCTCTGGCTAGGGGTGTGGGCTCTGGGGTGGGGCTGGGGATGAGAGGTTTGGGGTGCAGGAGGGTGCTCCAGACTGGGATTGAGGGGTTTGGAGGGTGGGGGGAGGCTCAGGGCTGGGGCAGGGGGTTGAGGTGTGCAGGCTCAGGGGTGCAGGCTCCGAGCGGCGCTTACCTCAAGTGGCTTCTGGAAGCCGTGGCATGTCCTTCTCTGGCTCCTACATGGAAGAGCAGCCAAGCGGCTCTGCATGCTGCCCCATCCCCAGGCACCGCCCCTGCAGCTCCCATTGGAGAGGGCCATTGGAATGCGTAGGAGTCAGAGTGGGGCTATGCCATGGCTTCCGGGAGCCGCATGGAAAGGTCCTCAACTCTGTGCCCTGGCTGGAGCACCAGAGTGGGGCAAGCCCCAGACCCCGCTCCCCAGAAGAAGCTCATGGGCTAGCTGTAGTTTGCCCACCCCGACCTAGAGTATATTTTTGGCGCAGAGTTGCTTCCTGGCATTGGTGCTGGGGTTAAGATTTCTGAAGGTGGTTTGCCCAATGCCATTTATAAATAAACCAGTTATGCTAAATGAATCCCCCAACTCCTCTGTGCTGATTTCTCCTCCACTGGAAATTGCTCCTGCTCAGCAGAGGGTGGCAATACTAGAAGCT